CCTTAGAGTTTTTTCAATATTTTGGGTATCTCGAAGCCCTTAATCTTCTCCGTGTGGCGTTCTAGCGGTTGCATTGACTGCTGCCATATTGTGGTCCATGTAGTCTATGTTATTCTTGTTAATGTCTAAACCTGCATTTCTTTATGCATACCCACAACCCATAGGAGGTGGAGGTGTTTTTAATAAGTATTGTGGCCAATCTTCGAAGTAGAAAATTATGTCGCCCATATACACCTTGACAACGTTGTCGATGTACCTGGCGAAGACTGTGGTCTTGAGTTTTCTGGAACGCTGCATGTCTATTCTTCAGGTCGAACATCATGGCTGTAAATTCATAAGCAGAGTGGTCAGGGAGGCTAAAAGCTGTCACTGGCTTAGACTCTTCGTGTAGTAGGATTTGTCAAATGCCACTCTTTAAGTAATGTGTGAAAAAGATCTTGGGGCTTCCGATCTCTCTTATGCTGTCGTGTATTGGCTACATGCTGGATACTTCGTGCACCGTACTGTTGTTAATTTTACAGTAGTTAAAGTATTATAGTATGGTATTTACTTGGTCGGATTACTACTCGGCAAAAAGCATTATATTGTAGCTACTTTTAATTACAAATCGAATGAGACTGCGATGGGTCAATTTTTTTTTTTCGAGATACACTTAATTGCTTAGAAAAAATTTTAAATGTTTATAATTTTTTCAATTTCAGAACCTAAAAAAAAAGATAGAGATCTAACCCGAGACCCATAATGATTGCTTTGACTTTTGCGTTTTAATCCATGACCAGTAGAAATGCAGTTAGATTACTTTGTTTAGATTGTAGTAAAAGTTCGAGAACAGCTGGTCGAACAAATCGAGAACAGCTGTTTGTAACGTATAAGGGTTCGTTGGAAAGAGGATAGCTCAAGAAGTTAATCATAAGAGTTTTGGGTCAAAGGATAAATTGTCAAAAAGACCTTAAGCTTATAGTGCCGAAACGGCTTAACATACAGGACCGTGCGATATATTATATTATGACAAAGAAATGTATTGATGTTAGCCCACTTTAGATTCAAACTTTTTTAAAGTCTTTTAAAACACAATATTTTCCTCACAAGGTTCACTACCTTGTAAAATGAACAAGTGAACAAGATTGAAACATCTTTGAATGAAACATTTTTAGTTTTACATAAAAAGATAATTGACCAAGAAGAGAATCCGTTTAGAATTAGATGTATTAAAAGAGCTACATTATAAAGATTTTTTCATAAACAAAAATTACACAAGATGTTGCAAAAACTAAAAATGGAGAAAAACATTTCTTCACTTTTGACATTTTTGCACTTTCAATCATTATTTTGCATAAACTGTTAGGTCAAACTTAATGTAGCATAGCTCCAATTAAAACTTTTTGTATGTACCGGGTGGTCGAATAAGCCGATCTCTCAGCTATATATCAGAAACTATTGATGTTATAACTTTAGGAGAAAAAATTCTTTAGTAAAAGTGGCCAAGAGAAATCGCTGAAAATAACTTTCAAGATTCTGAGTTAACCGCTAGGGGGCGTAACCTGTGAAGAAAAATTTGAAAACCAGTTATTTTTGAAATATGCTTAAATATACCAAGTGTTAAATAAGTAAACTAGAAAGTGGCCTAAATTCCGCACAAAGTTGTTCAATTACTTTTTTTTATTTGTTTAAATAAATGGTGGGGGAGAGTGGGAAAGTATTTGTGGATAACCTATAACTTTGGTTTGGATCAACTGATTATAACAAAATTAGTATCAATAGAAATAGTGTGAATGATTTAAATTACATCTACTATAAAACAATTGCATTTAGGCTTAATTGTCATAAATAGAAAAAATTAAAATTTGTTTTTCTTAAAAATGTTTAATGGAAACACCTAGATATTTATTGTTAATTGTAATGGAACTGGATTAAATTTTTAACAAAATTCGCAACAAATTTTGTCGAACTCAAAATATGAATAAAAACTCATAAACATAAGTAAATATAGTATTGACTCACCCTTTATTATAATTTAAAATTAAATATGGGAAAGATCATACAAATAATTTCGGTCATTAAAACTTAATGTCCAATTAAATGTTGTTTTCCATCGTTATCCACACAAAGATGTAATCTTTCGTGCGTAGACATAGGAGCTGCTTAAATCTCAGCTGCTGATATACTATTTATTACGTTTATAATGCGCTCCTACATCTCGTCTCGCGTGGTTGTTCCAGTTTGGTACACTAAGTCCTTCAATCTTCTCTACAGATATAAATCCAGACATGTTAAGTCTGGAGATCTAGCTGGCCATGAAAATGTACTTCCCCTTCCAATCCATGTATTTCGATAACTTGCATACAAATAATCTCGAACTCGTATGGAAAAGTGCGCAGGACACCCTTCAAGTTGTAATATCATATATCTTCTTGTTTGTAAGGAAATATCTTCCAATAAAACAGGCAACTGATTTTCCAGAAAATCCAAATATGTTTCACCATTTAAAGTACTATCAAAGTACACACACCAAACATTAACACTCCATCTACCTTGAATCTGCACCTCATGTATCCAGTGCGGATTTTCTTCAGCCCAATAATGTATATTATGCAGATTAAGACCACCCGCACAATTAAACGTAGCCTCGTCTATCCACAAAATATTTGACATGATATGCGGTTGTTCTTCTAGCAGACCCAACATCCAATTACAGTAATCCAGCCTTGCATCAAAATCTCTCTCATGTAAAGCTTGGTGGAGAACTACATGATAAGGATGCAGTCTAAAAAACAGAACAACAAATATTGGTGAAAAAGAAACCACTATAGTTACTACAACTCAAAAAATCTTGAAAAATCCACAATTGTTTCACAAGATAAATAGTGCATAAATATAAACTGATGAAAGGATAACAGCGCCATGTTGCCGTTTTTATCGGAATATTAAAATAACAGTTGAATCTAAAGTTTAAAGGGAATTCCAAGTTTCTGGCCTAAACGTTCACTTTAGAATATGAAAAATCAACCTGTAATGTTTTAAAATCCTTGGAACAGTGGTTTTGAGTATGTTTAATTCTAAGAGAGAGATTTGGCGACAACTTGGATTCTATTGAATTAAAGCAAGAACATTGATTGAATTTTCTTCAGTCATACTTCTAGTTTCTGTCTCCTGTCTCCTGTCAGGATGTCTTACAGAATATATACGTGAGGCAATAGCGGCATTTTGGTGACATTCGAAATAAACTCGAATCATATCATACAATTCTGCATTTGATATACTCATCAAGAATTATTAGTACTGATAATTAATTACTATTATTACCAATTATTAATATCTATTTGAAAAAAGTGCAATCTTCAATTCGAATTATAATATAACACTTCTTAACAATGTTTTGAGTGCTGTCAATAAATAAACAATATGAACTCCCCGTCAAATTCATTGTCGTAGCCTACTTAGTCTCGAAAAAACTATTTTTAATCAAATGAAATATTAATGATCAAAAAAGGTATCAAGCTTAAGATTGTTCTGCTATAAAAATATTTGAAAGTACCTACTGACTTATTTTTTAATTTAATTTATAATACAGGGTGAGTCAATACTATACTTACTCATGTTTATGCGTTTTTTATTTATATCGCGAGTTCAACAGAAGGTATTAACATGCAGTTTGCTCCATTTTGTTACGAATTTAATCCAGTTCTATTATAATTTACTATAAATAGGTGTTTCCTTTAAACATTTCAAAGAAAAAGAAATTTTAAATTTGTTCTATTCGAAAGTACCCTCTACCTATGGCAGTTAAAAGTAAATGCAATTATTTTTATAGTAGATGTAAATTAATTTATCCACACTTTTTCTAATGACACTAATTTCGTTAAAATCGGTTAATCCAAATCAACGTTATATGTATTTATCCACAAATACTTTCCTACTCTCCCCCACCCTTTATTTAAAAAAATAAAAAAAGTACTTAAACAACTTTTTAAAGAATTAAGGCCTATTTCTAGTTTACTTATTTAACACTTGGTATAATTGGCATATTTCCCAAAAAACTGGTTTTCAAAGTTTTCTTCACGGTCACGCCTCTTTGCTGTTAACCCAGAAACTTGAAAGTTATTTCCAGCAATTTCTCTTGGCCACTTTTACTAACGAATTTTTTCTCTTAAAGTTATAAAATGAATAGTTTCTGATATATAGCCGAGAGATCGGCTTATTGGACCCCCCGGTACTTTCATAACATTGTACTAATTTTACCTTAAAAATTTTAATTCAATACAATATAAATAGTAAAAAAAATACCGTTTTTTTGCACCTTAAAGTACCATTAAAGATTATAAACAACAATTTGGAGGTTACTACAGCCATTGCCCTTCATAACGCTGTGCTGTTTTCAAAAATTCACTAATTAATACTCAAAATCATTCATTTTTGTCTCTACAGCTTGGACTATAGTCTTTACAGCGTCGGAGATTGATTGGCCGTTAAAGAATTTCCATACTATTTAAAATGTTCATTTTATTTTTCGTCCAAACGTAATTAAATGCGGTAACTAACATCATTTATCACAGTATTCTATTAAACAAATTGTTGTGGGCACGAAATTTATGAATCTTGTTACCACCAATTAAATCAGAGATGAATAATGTGTACAATAACCACGGCGAAATAAACAAAGACGACATCAATTTAGTAAAACCATTTATATTAGATAAAGTTATCTAAAGTACCTACAAGAAATAATGCTAAAAGGCTGTTGACTGTTCTGCAACAACATAAACCTTATTAAATGTAATAAATTAAGTGAGTAATCTGTTAGACTACACAGTTAGGAAATTTAAAATTCAAATATTTCAATTTATTATGAAAGGAGTTGTAACTATTAATCTTTATTTATATACGCTGTATGAATTCGGTTACAACTATAGGAATTTTTTCTTCGCCATAAACCGTTACACTCTTTCAGGATTTTTTGTTTTTATATTTTGGCCGGCCCACGACTGGACTACTTACCGAAAATGGCAATTTATGTCAATGAGTCAAATACTTTGGAATGTCCCCAAACAAAAGGTAATTGACTCCATAAGTCACTGTCAACCCCAATCTATCATATTTTAATGATAACAACAATATTTTGTCAGGACATCAGTTAGGTTTCATGTGGTGCTACAAATGAGCTATATTCCCAGCAATCTGGTACATGTTTTTGCCATATTTTAATTTTTAAAATGTTTAAGTATGCAAAGTTGAATTTTTGTTTAATTTTTTTGCTCATTTTTTGTGACTCAAAATTGTCTGAAATTAATAGTCCAAGAAATTCAAGCTCGACTTTTTTCATCTCATTTTTAATGGATTCTTGACTTTTAGATTATTTTTGTTTTAAATAACAAAATATTGAAACGGTACACAAATATCCGACAGAAAAATATCAAAAACAAATTAAGCTAGCGTTAGAAAATTCAAAATCAATAGTAAATTAAACAGAACAGAAATACTTCAATATCATGAGCCCACAGCCTCCTAAATTATACTCTTTTAATAAACTACACAAACTGGATCACCCAATTAGACCTATAATTTCTTTTTATACAGCTCCGTCATATAAACTTTCAAAAAAACTGTTAGAGATTATTTTAGAACACACTAAATTTTTACCTAAATTTACCATAAAAAATACAACAGAACTAGTTAATAAAATACAACATTTTTAATTACCTAACTACTCCAGATTAATTTCATTTGACGTAAAAAATCTTTTTTTTAGTATTCCTCCTACAGAAATTTTATTCCAGTAAAAAACCTTTTAGACCAAAATATTACAAATTCAATCATTACATCTGAAATTTTACATCTTCTTGAAATATACATAAACCAGGACTACTTTGAATTTTATAATCAAATATACACAAATAACAGTGCAGGACTTATAATGGGCAATCCACTAAGCCCATTGCTATCAGATATTTTTATGGATCATCTAGAGATAAAGATTTCGAAAACATACCATATTCAAACAGTTCTTATATTGGTGGAGATACGTAGACGACGTACTGATATGTTTCACAGAAACTAATAGGCAACTTGACCAATTTTTATCGTATGTTAATTCACTTCATAGTCATATTGAATTTACAATAGAAACAGAACAAAATCAATCCAAAAATTTTTTGATTTAAAAATTATCAGACTTAAAAACAAACATGACTTCTTCATATTTCATAAACCTACCTATACTGATACTACTATACACAATTCATCATCCCATCCCACACAACATAAAATAGCAGCCCATCATAGTATGGTACATAGATTATCAGAAATTTCGATGTCAAAATACAACTTTGAGACAGAATTAAATATCATTAACGAAATAGCAGTAAAAAATGGATACAATGAACAACCAATTAATAAAATTTTAAATCAAAAAGCTACACAAAAAAAGCCCTGAAATTAATTAGTATTTCCACCACCAGAGAAAAATCCCAGTACCTTCTGTTCGATTACATATACAGGCAAAATATCAACAAAAATAGGGAATACATTTACCATCTTTAGGACGTCCTGATTTATACGTTCAAATCATTCTCAAAATATAAATTAAACAAATTATTCTGTCTTGTTACACTTGGTAATACAAAAAAATTCTTTTAATAATATAACTGTATCTGTCTCCTTCATATCAGCAATTTAGAAACATATGATATGTTTTTTTTTATAATTAACAAATTAACAATCAGAATAAAAATGTATTCTATAAGTTAATGTGATAAGTTTAGGTCCTGTCCCTCGATTCTGGAGTGATATGGTCCCCTCCAGTGAGAGAATCCCGTCTCCAGTTTACTGGTTTCTTGACCAATGTCGCTTTCGTCTTCTGATAACTTGATGTTGAGGTTGAGAATTCATGTTTGTTTTTAAGTCTGATAATTTTTAAATCTAAAAAATTTATGGATTGATTTTGTTATGTTTCTATTGTAAATTCAATGTGACTATATAGTGAAATAATATACAATAAAAATAACAGGCAATAAGTTGCCTGTTAGTTCCTGTAAAACATACCAGTATATGGTCTACGTATCTTCTTCAATATTAAAAACTGTTTGAATACGGGTTGTTTTGAAATTTTTGTCTCCTAAATTAACCGTAAAAAATATTTTTTTTACCACTTCTCGTACAGCTCAAAATTATATCGGCTACTTCAGATACTTTTCTTACAGATTGAGCCCATTAATGGTCTAAGTATCTTCCTTTAGAACACGAGCAGCCTTTATTTTAAAATAACAAGTTATAATTTTGAGGTGTTATTTTTTTCTTCATTAACAAGCCTAATTTAATGGTTCATAGATAGTTTTTTTATTTTTCAGCCATTCTCATTTATTTTAAAACTCACAAACACTTTTCATTAATTTACACCATAGACAATAAGAAACTCATAAATATGAAATATGGGCCATGATGGTTATAAACTACAAATAACCGAAAAACGTTTTGTTTTGTCAGTTTACAGGTCTGCCAACTTCCAAAAATTAATTATCCCCAAACTTCAAACGTGTTATTAAGAATCAACATGTAAATTTATTTTTTAATTAACAGGTAACTGAACAAATTTTATTGTTATACAGTGTTATTCTACAGGCAACTTCAGACAATCAGTTTCCTCAGGTTTAGGTGCTTGTATATATCGATGGCTTACTTGTAAATCTCTTGTAAGTCTAATTTTTACACATTTTGTCTTTTATGCTAAAATAGAATCTACTAGGTATGTAAATGCATTGAGCAAAGCTTTGCAAGTCTTTGTCAACATTATCGGCATCTATGCACAATTAAAAATACTAGTAAGTCTAGTGTGTTTTAAAGAGGGCAGTAAAACCTTGTAAGTCTGGTTTAATGATAGAGGTTGTGCTTTACTTTGATTTTGTGTAATGTTCTAACTACTGTTGGTGCAAATAAAGAAAGACAACTTTAAAAATAAGAAAGAAAAAATAATCCTGATGGTAAGTAGAATCTGTATTTTTACAATGTAATAACGACTATTTAAAAAATATTTGCCGTTAAAATGTGATTAGACTTGCGAAAATTTATAAACATTTTGGTTATGATATACAGGGTTTTAACTTCGCTTTTTAAATTGTATAGTAAAGTAATCTGTTTTATTAATGTAATAACGATTTTTTAGTAAACATTAGGTTTATATTTTCAACGGGTAATAATCTGCCATTGGACTACAATGAAGATTCACAATCAAAATGTAGAGAAACAAAACGAAGGAAAATGATTCTTTAAAGATACCAAATAATGCTATAAATGCTTCCAGAACTAGATTTTGAAATGGTGGAGGTAAGCGTAGTGCATAGACTATTATTTTGTTTTGTTTAGTTGTGTAACTAAAGCTGAAAATTAATTTTCTCTCTTTGAGTAGGTAATTTTATTTCTTTCATAATTCAAAATTTTGGTTCAAATAAAAAGACTAAAAATATACTAACAAATGAAAGCCAATGAGTTAATAATGGTACAATGTTTAAGTTAAAATAATATTTAAACTGTGATTTATTTTTACAGGTAGACATTTTTTGCAGGTAGACGATGATGTTTTACTTAAAGCTACAGAGGATACTAAAACAGCTTTCCCTGAGGAGGAGTATTTTGATGTTCCAACTGAGCAGGTACAATCGACTTTAGTTGCTCGTCATGGTCCTCTATTAGTAGTTAAAAATGTTACACAGGAAGCCGTAGTCGATGAAATACCGGAGGAATCAATTTTAATTCCTCGTGATGGTCAAGTATTGAAAAGGTAAAAATTTCATACCAGAAGCCTTGCCCGATGAAACTTCGGAAATCGCTTCCGATAAGAATTCGGAAGACTTATCCTCGGACACAACATCAGGAAAAAATTCTGCAAGATATTTTATTTTTATGCAAGTATTTTTGTACATACTTGGAACATGGGCATACACAAATGGAGTGTGACTTCATTCATGCTCAAATAGAAAAAAAGAGACAGAAATCGAGAAATCTAGTTTACCGGGACCATTCTTTTTATGGATTTCTCAAAGTTCGTCATATATACCTCAATAAGACCAGGTACGAAAGCAGGAGAATCCTCCGTTGTAGACGTGTCAGCAATAAAGTACACTCCGGAGAAAGAAGTCTTTTATAAATTAAGTTTTGATGAAAACTGGGTTCTGTTGAGAAAAAGAGTGCAAAAACCTGGTACATTTGAAGAGCCAAAACAGCTGTACCAATGCGCACAAAAGATTAAACTCCATAAGTACCATAATTTACAAGAACTAAAGAGTCTAATTGCCCCAAAGACTTTCACGGATTCTATAATTCTTTATAAGACTGGTTTTATCAATATTGAATTTAGTCCTGTTCATTTTTTTTATTTTAGGTTGTGATTGTATCCTGTGGAAAAATCTAAGTTTTTTTAGATGAAATTTTTTTTATTTTCAATATACGTTAGTATATTTTTTTAATAAATCAGTACAGTCTACAAAACAATATTTATTAACATTGCAAACCCTTGCATGTCTCTTCTGCTGAAGTATAAAATTTTATATGTCTCATAGTAACAATAATTTACGAGATTATATTCTTTGTTCTTTTTGTATTATTAAATATGCTATTAAAGTGTCTAAAAAAACAACTCATGTTTATAAAAAGTGCCGTTTTTTTGAAACTAAATACATTTTATCACCTCCTGAAAAATATAGTTAATCAGACATACAAAGTTTTACGTGTAAGCCATCGATATGTTAATGTTATTTTCGAAATTTTGAAAACATTTGATTATATACAAATACAAATACAATACAAATGAAATACAAATGCAGAAGTCAGAATGGCGGCCTATTAACAACAAGGAAGGATGTATTGAGTAGATGGGTGGATATTTTAAACAGGCAGTTAATATGGAGGAAGAAAAAGAAAACCTGGAAGACAAACGAGATGAGGTAATGAGAGCAGACGAGTGAGAAGAGAAACCACCAACGATTCTTGAAGTTAAAGATGCAGTTAAAAAACTAGCCAGAAACAAATCACCCTCAATAAATAATCTCTTAGCTGAACTTTATAAAGAAGGTGGCCATGATACTATAATGGCATTACAGCAGCTTATAAAAGAAATATGAACACAGAAATCTCTCCCCAATGATTGGAATATTGGAATACTTTGCATCATTCACAAAAAAGGAGATATCTTGCTCTAACCATAAAAGAATTACGCTTCTACATTTTCTACAGTACTTTGTCACCGTATGGCACCAAATGCAGAAGGGATATTAAGAAAATACCAGGCTGGTTTCAGAGGTGCAATTCATCAAATTGCAATCCTGAAATAAATTTTGGGAAAACACTGTGAATAGAAGAGAAATGTTTAAATCAATGAAGAGTTAAGAATATTAATTCGTTGGTAAATTTAACTAACCCTCGAAAAACTCTCGAAAAGTACGAATTCAGGGGAAACTGTCTCAACCTTTTAAAATAAATAACGGGCTGCGCCAGGGAGACCCTCTCCCCTGTATGCTGTTCAATCAGGCGCTCGAAAAAGTAATACGTATGTCACAAATCACAACAACTGGTTCAATACATTATAAATCAGTTTAAATCTTGGCCTGTGCTAATGATATCATATTGTTGGGAGAACGGAAAACATTGTACGAGAGGCGTAGGTAGCATTAAAAGAATCAGCTACAAAAATGGGTTTAATAATAAACACCAACAAAACGAAGTATATGAAAATAAGCACGCAACCACAAATCCTACGACCACTTGTTATATAAAACGACATCATCGAAGCGGCGAACGAATTTGTATATATAGGAGCGATCCTTAAAACTGAAAATAATACTAATCTAATAACCTGATATCGTAAAATATATTAAGATAGGATGTCTGAGGTGGATAGGGCATATAATGCGGATGGAACAAAATGATCCAGCTAGAATAACGCTTCTTGATAAACCTATTGGTCAGAGAAGAGAAAGACCCAGAAAAAGATTCTTTGAAAACATTGATGAAGAGATGAGAATTATGGAAATACGTTGATGATGATAATACAAACTTATCAGTTTCTGTTGCTACTGCATTAAAAATTACTTGTTGATTTTGGTGTCTGCTAGTATTTTTTGATAGTCGGCATGTATCAAATATGCTGTTGACTTTAACGCAGTTCACCTTATCAATTTCTTCAATTCTATTAAGTCGGATGTTTAATCCACAGAATAGACCATGTAATTAAAAAGAGTAAATATTTATACCACGATTAGCCTTAAAATGGCTTTAGACGAATAAATTCAATTTTTTCCAATCTTTAATTCCTTATTTTTCTACCGTCTCATTTAAATCCGCTTAGAAAGAACCAATAAATCATGATATTATCGGAGACAGTGTTTTATATCTAGGCCTTTATGATAAGTGTATTAAGAATATATCTCGTAGCAGGTTTAAAGAGATGTATGTAATTATTTTAAAGAGGCGTTTTAACAAGTTCAGTTACGCCGATAAACCAGATTGAAATACACTATTATACTTTTGCTATGGGCTGTAATTCATATTTTAACGTCAATTCTTCTTTCAACTGACCAGAGTCGTGATCAATTATAATAAAGTACTTTAAATCGCTTTAGCTATTTCACGATGTAAATTCAAATTCAAAACTGGTCATGGAAAATTTGAATTAACGTTTTTTCTCTAAACACCCTTGAGTTTTACAATGTTTTTGATAAGTGAAATGATAAATAGTGGGTTTCCGACCCCAAAATCTAGAAAAATTCGTTTCATAATTTATATATTATAGTAATAAAGTAGGTTTGAACTGTCAATATTTCATTTATCGTCAATCGAAAATAACATTTAAATATTATATTAATTGTTTACACATTTTTTTTTTAGAAATATTTTGAAAACAATTTCCAGATTGGAAATCGACAAGTCAAAAACAAAAACAAAATTTAATTTTGTAAGATGTGTTTTATTTTTAACGTACTTTTTTTATTTTGAATATAAAAGTGTTTTGTTTACTAATGGGATTTATTTGTTCCACCATTCAACACTAACGGGATATATATGTTCCATACTCTTGTGTCCATGTGCCTAAAACGTACAAACTCTATCAACAGAAGCATCAATGATAGAACTGGAGAAAAACTAGAGCAGAAAAAAACTAAAAAAGTTGAAATACGTGTAGGAAATTTATGAGAGACTTGAATTGAATCGAAATGAAGCAATTGATATTTATTTCATTGTTTTTTTATAGTTTATAGTAATAAATAACTTTAGCCACATCTTTCGTTTCAAATTCATCTCTTATTTTACTTCTTAATTTTTTTTTTGTGTAAATTAACTTTGCGCTTCTTCATAAGACTGTTTTTCCTAATTAAGTAGTTATTTATTACATTATTCTGCTGTAGGGACATTTTTTTAATAATCAATAATAAAATACGTTTTAAATTCTTGTAATATATAAAAACAAAGAGCTGTGTGCGGAACAAATTAAAAATTTATAAAAATTCCTATGCGTGACATAATCATCTAATAGTTTGTTGAATAGTTAATAATAAATGGAAATTGATATTATGTTAACTGCATAAAAATTTTCAATAAATGACTTAGTAATATTGTAAGAATTTATTGTAAACTTTAAATGTAACAAATACACTGAAAAGTAAGACAAAAAAAAGGTTAACAAAATATCCGCCCTAGCTTTAAAGTTTTTAAAGTAAAATTGGGAACAATATACAATGGCATTAAAAAATAAACAAGTATATACAGAGACCTTATTCAAAACTAGAGACAATAATAAAATAATCCCACCAAATTATGATTTTAAACTATTAACTTCGTATATTAGTATTGGCAAGTATTTCGGTGTATTTTATTATGTTTCCGGTGAGGGTTCCATGCAGACTAGTAGCCCTTATTTAAAATTAATAAGTATCGCCATACTAGCAGGAATATTGGCCATATCCTACTACTCCTTTAAAGCACAATCTCTGTTGAACTCGGGCCTACGTCCAACCGTTAGTGGTATGGCCGTTGTTTTGATTATTTGTGAGACACTATTTCTTTCATATAGTTTAGTATATTTAATGTTAAAAAAACAAAGATATTGGAAGAAATTATATGAAAAAATCTATACTTTCGAAAGCATACTGAACACTTGCGAATATTTTGGAAATGAGAGCATGTTTCGGGTTGGAATTAAAATGGTTCTAGTTTTCCTAGCCATACCACATTCGATTTTCAGGTAACGAAATATTTTTTATAATATTAAGGTAGGTTTTTTGGTTTCGGTTTTTTTTGTCTCTTGCTTTCTCTCTCCAATTGTTCACGCCTATTTCTGACAAGTTTTGCTTTACTGCTTCCAACCACTGCTTCTTTGGACGTCCTCTTCTTGTTTTCCCCATTTATTGTTTTAACATTTCGATTCTTTGACATTCGTATATAGACAAGACATTATATACGAATATATAATATAAGCAAGACATTTAGCTCTTTGGGCCCGTATTTTTGCCGTAATTGCTGGTTTTCCATACATCCTCATTATTTCTTTATTCATTCGTCTTCTCCAATATTCTCTGTCATCTTTATTCCTCTGAATATTTTTCTAAGCACCTTTCTTTCCCAAATCTCTACTTTTTGTCTTTCTCGCTGATTCATAATCTACGTTTCACTGCTATACAATCACTGTGTCCTGCTCCTTTCTTTTCCTTTTTCTTTCTTTTTGATATATTTGTTATATATTCGTTATGTCTCCTCCCATTTTAATATATTGCGTTTTTGTTTTAGTTTATTATTAATCCATATCTCTTTGCTTCTTCATTAAATTTCTGGAAAACTTTTTCTAAATATTTTTTTTGTTCTCGCTAATATCACCAAATTATCTGCATACCCACATTTACTCTAATATTTTAAAATAATTAGGTAGGTACTTCCGACAATTACTACATAAGTCTGTAGAAGTTCAAACTTCAGCAAATCTGCTTTATATAAACTCTCTTCCAACACCTGATAGACCTTTTATGTGGTCTGCTTTTGACTTGATACAAGAGCCTAAGACAGAAGAATAATCATTAGGGGCAAAGACAGAATTCAAAGCGGAATCGTTCTTTTACTGTTTGTTTTTTCTTTGAGTCCTCTTCTGGTTCATCTGTTTTATCTTTTGTTTCTGTATCCATTTTTCCAATGACTTGGAACAAAATTTCATCATGAAGAGGTAGGAAATTCTATCTATTGTGCCAAGAGCATAATCATCCAAAGTTATCTAGCTTTCTTAGACATCGCTTAGAGAACACTTTGATCATGTTACACTTGAGATTGGTAATAGTCCTAGCGCAGTAGTCGCAGCATAAATCTCCACCAGTTAAGTCTGGTAATTCTGATGCAATCATTTAACAATATAAGGTTGATTACTACTTGTTTCTGACTCCTATTCCAAATGGACCGATTACTTCCTCACCTTCATTCAGTCGGTTTGATACTTTGGCGATAATAGTTTTCTATAAGGAAAGCTTGACTGCATCCAGTAACTGCAAGGACAATGTTAAAGTTCTCGAAAATTGGTTTATTTCTTCTTCGCTGACTGAAAATATATGTGTTGCTAAGTATACTACTTGCTTGGCAACGGCTTGCAATGCTTATAATATCTAGTGCATATTTTTTTATTTATCAAGAGGCCTATACTACCCATAAGTTGTCTGTTACATCCATATGATAGAGAATATGTCCTGACTGAAGTGGAATCCATTTTCTTTTGACGTAGTTTTAACATAGTTTTTGTTTGACACAGTTTTATAGTTTTATTGCTGTTTTTTGTTTATTTCTTCGTTGTTACTTCTAGTGAGATAGTAGGTTGTTATGTAATAAATACGATATAATTCACTGTATTTGAATAAATTTGTACTTACACAATTTATTGTGACTCGGACTACTTGTGCTCGACTGTACAGTAGCATTCAGCCACTTCCAATCAATGTGAAAATTCTACAACCTTAACATCAATTAATTTATGTTCCGACCTGTTATGTGCCTCTGATTGGTCTGTAAGCTTAGTAAAAAGTTGTAAAATAAAGATATTTGTAGTAGACATTTGTAAGCAAATATGAGTGACATATTTGATCTAAAAATGTTTAACTTTGATGGTCAATTCCTAATCTTGTCTTACCTACTGAATCATGCAGTTCCTTATGTTCTTCTTCTTTCTTCTTCGTTCTTCAGCCTTCATTTATCCAATGTTGGACATATTTGAAATTTTTTTCCATTCAATGTTAAGAGTGTGACATTAAGAATCTAAGATTATATTACAACTTTTTACTTAAATCAGATACCAAGAACAGTACAACATCACAGATAACCAACTTGAGCTGATATATCTATTAACAACTAACCTACTTTAATAATACATTTTCATTAACAAAAAAAGATAACATTCCTACTTTTCTTAGATACATCTCAATAAGATATTATTACAATAATACATGAACAATATACTAATTAAAAAAAGAATTTCAATTAGAAATTTCTAAACTAATATCTCCCAGACTGGGATCTAACTTCATCGGTTTTACCAATGAGCCTTAACGACATTGTATCAAAAGACACTACTTGTTAATTGTTTCGGCGCTTGCGTTCTATGAAACAAGACCAGCTCACATTCAAACTTTACAACAATTAAAAATTTAGTTAATTGCCGACAACTTCAAAGAATTACTTCCTTTAAATGTAGTTACATTGGATTTTTCGATTGTCCTTGGGTAAACCTTTGCGTTTTAAGTTCAAAGCTACCATACATTTCCACCGTTCACAAATAAACTTTTTTGCACATAGTAACAAAAAAACACCACTATGTTGTTACTAGCTAAAGTTTTTTTAACATCATTAACTCGACATTTCTAAAATTTCACGGTAAGGTAAAATGTTTTTTTTTATTAGAATAGATATCTGGTAGCTAATTATAATTTATTCTCTTTCAGCCTGAAGAAGCCAAATTCTCTTTGGCGAAAACGTTAGGTGAAATAATTGATACACATTAGAGTTTTTTTTGCAGATTTCCCCAATATTTAAGAGTTTACTATCTATATATATATATATATATATATTATTATATTATTTATATTGTATATACTATATATTATCTATATTATATATATATATATTGTGTTCTACCTTTTCTATATTGATGTTATCGATCGTGATGTTTTCTAGGCTGTTGCTTAATATCTTTGTTTTGTCGAGATTCATTTTAATCCAATTTGATTCGATTTGTGATTTAAATCTTGTAGCATTGATTTTAGTTCATGGATATCTGTGCTTATTAGTACTATGTCGTCTGCAAAAACGCAAATGGTTAAGATATTCTCCATCTATTTTTAATCCATTTTCGGTCCAATTTAGTTGTTTGAAAACATTTTCTAATGCCAAATTAAATAACTTGGGTGAGATGGTGTCGCCCTGTCTCACACCTTTGCCAAGGTCTATTTTCATAGCTTCCAGATCATCATCTATTTTTACGTGAAAAGTAGCATTATCGTATATATTCTTAAGGAGGGGCAGCATATCTTGAATCTACTCTGGCGTCGTCCAATGCTGTAAAGAAAGCCATTTCTCGATACTGTCGAATGCTTTGTGATAATCGACAAATGCCAGATGTAGTGGTATGTTGTACTCTATTGTTTTTTCAATAATGGCCCGAATTTTTTGCAAGTGATCGATAGTGCTAAAACCCTTACGAACAGCCTGCTTGCCCCACTGGTTGGTATGCATCTAGTTTAGCTGTCAATCTATTTGTTATTATTCGGTGTTAGTAGTTTGTAAAGGTGTGACAATAAGCTTATTGGTCGGTAGTTTTCTATATTTGCGGCGTCCCCTTTTTTATGGAGTAGAATGGCTTCCGCATTTTTCCATGTCTTCGGTATTTGTCCTTCCAATAGGCATTTATTAAATAATGCTCTTATTGCCTCTTCTAATGCAGTGCCTCCCATTTTTAGTTCCTTATGTTAAGATGCAGAAAATATCTGAAATCTTCCGTTCCAGAAAATATATATCCTGACCACAGCCAATATTGTTTGGAAACTTTATTTTTGGCATGGTATTGATCACAAGCATTTGAAACGCATGTTGGGCTGCGACAGGGAGATGCGCTGACGTGTCTCGTTTTTAACAGCTCTGGAAAAGGCGGTCAGGAATGCCCAAATAGACAACAGAGGAATTTATTTTTATAAATCATCCCAAATTTTGACATATGCAGATGATGTTGACCTAGTGTCCCCGCACTAACACGCAAGCTAGACAGAGATATATACCACCTTGTAAATGACTAAAAAAATATGGGCCTGCAAGTAAATGAGGAGAAAACTAAAATAATGGCATCAACACCCAACAATAGAGCCAGAAACATCGGCCACCAATTCACTGTTGATCTACCTTTGAAGTGGTGGACAAATTCACATACTTAGGCTCCTTGATCACCAAGGAGGACGTCATGACGGAAGAAATCAAGCGAAGAATAATCCTAGCAAACAAATGCTATTTTGGAATTGAGTAGACATATGAGAAGCAGAAATTTAAGCCAAAAAAACAAAAATAACCATATACAAAACCCTTATACAACCAGTGTTGACATATGGATCGGAGACATAGACCATTTCCAAGACAGATGAAAACCTTCTGCTTATATTTAAACAAAGGATCCTGAGAAGAATATTCGGTAGCATCTGTGAAAATGGTGTTTGGAGAAGGAGGTACAACTACGAGATATATCACAGATATAAACATATATTTGGTGGTAAAGACGTAGTATCTCTTATAAAAATAGGAAAGGTAGTCCAAAGCTCAAATGGAGGGATGGTGTAGATGAAGATGGTAGAAAAATAGGCGCAGCAAACTGGCAACAATTGGCAATGGTTAGAACTGTCTGGCGTAATAGACTTGGGAAGGTAGAGGCTCTTTTATAGTGTAGCACCAATGATGATGATAATAAGTGGCTGTCTTCATCATATTTCAAGCTGTCAAAGTAGGGGTTTCTCCATCCAGGTAAATGTTTTGTACGCATTGCTTGTTGCCTTACTTTATATAAAGTTACGGTATGTACTACGATAATTACAAGTAGTGCCCAAAATTTTCTTCTCTTCCGTGTTCTCTTATGTATCTCACTCGCGTACCACTTATAGTCTAGCTCTGTCGAACCTCGACCAAGATACCTCTACCAGACTGAAGTCCAAACATTAGAATTGTATTTTGTGTAACCATGTTTTTAATAATCAGAGCATTTACGACCTTCCATTAGGCACACTTCTCCACAGCCCAACTGTAGTAGTTGGCTGCCACTAGTAGCACTGAAACCTTCCTTTTGTTTTTTGTTCTGATCGTTACAAGTGTGTCTATTGTTATTAGTAAAATTAATATTTCATTACAAATTACAATATTTTTCATTTTTCAGCTTGTATTACTTTTCAACTAGTAACTCCTACGCAGCTGCACCTCTTGTTATAACTTTAAGAAGTATTACCACCTTATACATGATTATTATAATAACCTTCTACTTGATTTTAACAAATTGGTTAAACAATCGCTACGAATTTATGATTAAATACTTAAAGACAACGTTGAAGAGGAAACAACATTTATTGGTTATCAGGAAAGTCATAGTGGCTTACAAAATAGCCGAGTCAGTAGTGGAAACAACTAATCATCTATTTGGAAGCATTTTGTTTATTAATTTGACTGTCAGTGTTTTGCACATTCTGCATTATTTCGTCCTAGCTTTGGATTTGTCCGATATACCCACAGCGCTAAAAACTGATCAATTATACTGCACCGATTAAAAATGCGGTAAGAACTTTTTTTGTAATCGATATGAATCATTACGTACAATGATTGACTTTCTGTTTCAGATATTTCTGCTTTCTCTTATAATGTCCTGTAACTCCGTGGAAGTTAATGGAAAATCATTTATTAAAACTTGTTATCTTCTTCATGAAACTGTGGAAGAAGACGAAGAAAAAGATCACTTGTTACTGTTAGCTAAGTACGCAGATCTTTGGCGTCCAATTTTCTCTGCTGCTGGATTCTATGATGTTAATCAGTCAAGTTTGTCTTCTATTTTTTCTGCACTTATAACGTATTTGGTTATCATCATACAGTTTAATATGGTTCTTTAAATTAGGTTATGTTTTAGTGAATAAATAATGTAATAAAACTGTTCTTTAAATGTTATAGGTATGTTGTAGATATATGTGTTCGAATTTATTTATTCTTGGTACCAGATTGTAATGAAAAAAAAATACAAAGAAAACCAAAAATTAAATTAGACAGAATATACAAAATGCAAAAAAACAGACACATAATTTATACAGAAGACAGAAAGAACTAATAGGAAAAACAAATACCAAAGAAACCTTTTATTTGTTAAGATCTTCTTCTTCTTAGCCTTCTATCGTCCATGTTTGGACATAGACTTCTCCCAACTCCTTCCATCAGTCCCTATCCTGAGCAACATATTTACAAACACATATCTGTGTTTGTCATTATTTTTTTTTTTTTCATATTTCAGTTCCTCGAATGTGCTCGCTATAATCACTATGTCGTCAGCAAAATTGAGGTGGTTTAACTTGTTGCCATTAACGTTAATGCCATAGGTTGACCAATTTATAGTTTTGAAGACGTCTTCCAGGGCTAGGTTGAAAAGCCTTAGTGATATTACATCTCCTTCTCGCTTAATGGGGATGGGATGTGTATTTTCATCTATTATTGTTGTTCTAAAGCTATTTTCTTGTGGCATTGTAAATTAATTACTATTTAACTGGGAATAAGCCACAATTAAAGATAAAATACGTTTATTGACGTTTCAATTTCCACTTCGAAATTCTTTCTCAAACTACTTTTGAAAAACGATTTCCGAAGTGGAATTGAAACGTCAATAAACGTATTTTTATCTTTAATTGTGGCTTATTCCCAGTTAAATAGTAATTTATTTTCATCTAGTTGGACTATCATAGTTGCATTTTTCATATATATTATGTATTAGTTGCCTATATCTCGAATCTATTCTAAAATTATTAATAACATTGTTCTATGGCCACATCTCGATACTATCAAACGCCTTTTCATAGTCGACGAAGGCAAGAAATACGGGTAGTTGGTATTCATTTGCCTTCTCTATCAATGTTCTCATTGTCAGCAGATGGTCTGATGTACTATATCCTTTGCGGAAGCCAGCCTGTTCAACCGTTTGGTAATTGTCCATTTTATAGGTCAACTGGTTGTTAATAATTCTCATAAATAGTTTGTATACTTGACTAAGCAACGATATAGGTATATATTTCTGTAGATCACATTTGTCCCTTTTTGTGTAAGAGTATTACTAGACTCTAGTTCCAGTCTTTAGGGATCTTGCTATTATGGAGACATCCATTAAATAGCTCTGTTAGCACAGTGATTGTATTTGTTAAGATGCAACTTTTTATTTTAACTTTTAGAAATCTTTTAGTCTAAAATCCATCATAACTACATTGTGATCGCTATAATTGTCAGCTGCATCATAATTATATTTTAGTAAATTTTATGTAAATACTTCTGAAAGTTATATGTTTACTATCTGCAAGTAATTTCCAAGTGTATAGCTTTCTAGGATAAAGTAGGTTTTTGTCTATTAAAAGGTTGTTCTCTGTGCAAATTTGTATAAGTTTTTTGCTCCTACTGTTTCTGGTACCGAGACCGTATACCTATGTTGTCTTCTACAACACTACGATCAATTTTGGCGTTAAATTCACCCATGAAGATTGTAATCCCTCCTATTTTTGTCAGTCGCATTATTTCGTCTATGTTGTTATAAGAAATTTCAATTTCTTGCTTTGGGGAACATATTCCATGGAACAATTTTAGCTAGAGAAAAAATTACTCAATGCAAGATGGCTTGGCTGCGAACCTTGAAAATTTGAAACAGAGATACTACGTAATGAAGAAGACTAAGAAAAATATAACAACACTAATCGATCAACAGCTGACAATACCAATAAAATAGTATGAAATCAAATATATTATATTATCGTCAAGAGAAGATATAGAAATTATATAATATCAACTAAAACTTATCCAGGAGAGGACATATTCTCCGATCACAATCCGGTTGTTTTGTCAATAAGAGTGAAATTAAAGAATGTAAAGTACCTTAGCTCCAAGAAAATCATGGATACAAGGCGGCTCAAACAAGAAAACGTATATGCGGAAACGAAATTTAAAATAAACATAAACTTAAGGAAAGTCAAAGAACATAATGCAGAAACTGTAACTATTGACCAAAAATTGGGGAAAATTCAACATGCCTTGTTATCATCATCAATTAGCCTATATTTTTCCACTGCTGAACGTAGGCCTCCCGTAAAATTTTCCACTTATTTCTGTCTTGAGCTTTTTGCATCCAGTTTGTGGTGATGCGCTTGATTATCCATTCGTCCATCTAGTCGGTGGTCTTCCTATGCTTCGATATGCATTCTTGCCTTGGTCGCCATTCAGAATCTTATTGGTCCATCTGTCATTCGTTAATCTGGCAACATGTGCGGCCCAAGCCCATTTAGCCCTGGCTATGTTTTCAACTGCCCATTTCATAAATGAGGGAGTCCTCAGAAGACATGAATTATGAACAAGAGGTACTGACCACATCAAATCTCGATAGTTGCAATTCTTCGGACATATTGATGCGAAATAAATTCAGATATGCTCTCCTTAAAGCCATCCTCCAAGGAAAAATATTTGGAAAACGAGGTCTAGGAAGAAAAAGATTTTGGTTTAAAGGACCTCAGAATCGGGTTTAGATACTTGAGAGAATGGTTTGAATGCAGTAGTGCACAAACTATCTAGAGTTGCAGTCAACAGGATCAGCATAGCCATGATAATTTCCAACCTTCCATAGAAGATGGAACTTAAAGAAGAAAAAAAACCGATTGACCAATTTACAGTAATATGCAAAAAATCTATGCATAAGTTAAAACACATGACCAGAGGCAGAGACATTTGGAGATGAACAATACACGATGTCACGATGATCACTACAGTGATCTCCGGAGATCTGAACTGAAGAGAGATATTACACGTAATTTATTCCTTCATTTCCTAGCTTATTTTGTCCTTTATGTGACAGCATAGGAACATCTGGTTTTTCAAAAAATATATGAAAAGGCATTTCATACACGTCTCTCTCTCGTATATTAAAAAGCACAACATTATAGAAAAGTCCTCAATTTGGTTTCCGTGAAGGTATAAGTGTGCAAGATGCACTACTAGCGCTGTGCAATCATATTTTATCGAACTTTGATTAAGGGTAATAAAGTTTTGTCTGTTGTTTTTTGACTTAGCACGAGCTTTTGAAACTGTAAATCATCCAATATACTGCTGGAAAACTTTATCATAGTGGTGTTAGAGGAACTGCGGTAAAGTGGATCCAAACCTTTTTATCGAAAAGGTTTCAAAAAATTAAGGTCAATGTAAATGGGAATATAATTATTTTCTTCAGAGAAAGTGTCCTCTCCAGAGTTCCACAGGGAAGTATCATTGGCCCTCTTTTATTTTTGATTTTCATCAATGATTTAAATCAACTGATAAACGATAGCACAACATGTTTGGTTCGAAATCATTAGATAATTTTTCTGATGCAATAAGCGATTCGAGGAGAAAAGTTGGAACAGCAATCAGGCTGTTACGTCACTCAATTTGCTTCACGATACCACAGTTGCACTAAATTTCCAATAATTTTTTTCATGTAGTACAAAAAGCAAACTGTCTTGTAAAAAGTATGACTCATTACTGTTTAAATAATGTCCTAATCTTAAATGGATCAAAGACCAATATGGTAACCTTTTCACCTTCTACTATGCAGATGAGTCCATTAGTAAATGCATTGACAATAGCCACTCCACTAAGTTGTTAGGTGTTTACCTTGATTCAAATTTGTCTTGGAGTTCTCACGTTGATTCTGTAGTGGGAAGATTTTGTCTGTACACTGGTATGTTCTAAGGCAACTTAGGAATGTTTGTCTCCTAGATATCTTGAAACTTTACTGTTTTGCTACATGTACAATTAATTTTGCAATATAGCTTAGTTTCTTGGGGAAATTGTTCGCGAATTAATGATGGTGCTTGTTTTTCAAAAAAAAATTATTTGTACCATGACGTTTAGAAGGCGCTTGGATTCCTGTAGACCAGTTTTTTAAACAATTAAATATTTTAACTGTAATTTCTCTGTATATTTTCAGTTGTGTTGTTTATGTAAAGTCACATAGATGTAATTTTATTTGCAGAAATGATGTTTCCTTAATGAGTGGTTACAATTTTCATTACAGAAATGATTTGGTGACCCAGCTCGTCACTTGACCGTTGTGGGCAAGGGTCCTTACCATCGAGCAAAAAGACAAAAGAGGAAATGTAAAGGTAGTGGAGGGCAAAAATATTGTTAGACAGAAAGTGCAATCTTTAGAGGCCACATTAAACAAGGAAAGAGAGTCTCTCTTCTTGTTTGACATCAAATTTAGTTGGGTTATGTTATTGTTTGTCCAAATGCCACATGAAATCTTATTTATATTGAAGTTTTTTAACAATTGTGTCGCATTTTAGACTATTATCGTTAATAATTAATTAAAACTTTGTCGTCTAAGACACATTCTGAAAAATTATATATAGCTACTGTTAATAAGTGTCGGAAAATTTAAATTTGGCGTATTCGATTTCCGGATATGTCCGCCATCAGAGGCCACTTTTTTGGTCTCCTGTTCATAAGGATTAGATTCCTCGTTTGGTCCTTACCCAACATGCGTTAGTTTGTATAATAAATT